AAAAAAAAAAAAAAGATAAATATTTTAGATTTATTTACCTAAATAATGCAATATAGAGTCTCTGTTTCTCTCTTTCTCTCTTAAAAAATCTGCATCATTCCTCCCATTCTTGATGTCAAATTGAAAGCCAAACAGGACCCCAGCATGACTGTCATAGTACAGAAGTCAGTTTGAAACCTTACCTGGCTAATCTCCAGTTGATACAATTCCGAGTGCTCTCACTGATGGAGGAGAAGGGAAAGTACTGCTGTTGCCACCACTCCTTTTTCACAGCTTGGAGAGATTTTCATGTCTGCTTTTGCTTTCATCTTCCCTCATTATTGCTTAGGAAAAGAATGACCAACAGTTTTGCTTGCCAGGAACTATCCCAGGGACTGCCCTAGTTTTAGCACGGAAAGTCCCATGTCCATGGGACTGAAGACACCCCTCAGTCTGTGGCAAATTAGGACAATTGGTTGCTCCAGTAATTAATGATCTTCCAATTAATTTTTATTAAATGAAAGTGATTTGGGTAATTATTGCTCTGTGCTAGATGAGGCCATTTTTTGCTTTGCTGTAGATCTTACATGAGCAAGTCAGTGAGTCAGTGAGATGAAAGAAGCTGGGATGAATTCTTTACCCAAGCAAACAAATAAAAGAGTGGTACTATTTTTTGGTAGGTCAATAATCTCTGCTAGCTTTGTACTCAGAAAAGAACTGAGTTGGAGTACCCTCAGAGGGCCTGGGAATTTTGAGGAAGAATGAGTTTTAAATTCAAGGTACTTTTCTTTAGTTTGGGGTTAGCACAAGTTGGATTCTTAGATCAGTTTGGGAAGTCCCAGAAGATGAGCAGGCAGTTAGTCAAGAAACTAGAGATAAAGGAAACCAATAAATATGAGTTTAAAATACTTCCTCAGGAGGATAGAGTACATGGTTAGCATCATGTCTCATATTTCTTTGCCTTTTGTCTCCTAACATGAAATCAATTATCATTGTTTTTTGGTCTTTTTTAAAAAATCCAGATTTTATTCAATAATATGATGTGGCATATAATATCTTTGATTCTGTCTTAAGAATTCAGTTGAAAATGGGGACCAATTTCAACAAGCAGTGAGTAAAAAACCTTGAAACTTGAACAAGCTATTGATACAAATTTGCTGAAAAATGTCAGCCTGTTTCAGTTCTGTTATGGGAAGTCAAGGAGATTAATGTATTCATGGTTGGACCAAAATGTGAAATGAGAAGTAGCAACATATCCCTGGAGACTGGATGGCTGCAAAAGTAATCAGAATTTCAGAACCTCAAGAAAAGATGAAGCCAAGGCAGACAGAATTAAGGTGCTTAAGGACTTTCTTAGGAGTTTCTTAATTAGTCTCAGGGCTAATTAAGGACTTTCTTCTAGTGCTTAATTATTTGAAAATTATGAAGGGTTTATGTTTCCGTCTTACAAAAGTGAAAGTTATCTTCCATCAAGTTAGCCCCTTGCCCCTCAATATCTTCCTTACTACATCAGGTAAAAAGTGGCAGATGGATGCCACTGAGAGTGGTGGAATTTCCATCCCCAAGTGGCCAGTTGGCAAAGAGTGAGAAGGAATGTTTGCCATTCTCCATTCAGTCTTTAACATTTGTAATGAGGGTATTTTCAAAAGGGAGGTCTGCCTGTATATATTGAAGTTTTCATCCATTCATAACTCAGGTTAGTTGCTATAGAGATGATGGTCCAAGGTAGCATTTTATTTTGCCTTTGTTAAAATAGAGATGATAAGACTGACAGAATGTACTCTGTGTCCATAAGACACCAAATTATAAACAAGACCTAAGGCCACGCCAGGCAAAGGTTAAGTCACACACCCCTACACTTAAAAAATAAACTATATTCTAACTGACCAAAGGGTTTTCTTTTTTTCTAGCAGCTAAACAAACACTGGCCTCAAGATAAGCAATATTGAAACAACTGCATCTTACTGACTGCAAGACACTAATTCAATAATCCTCCATCCCTATGGCTGTTCCGTAAGCCATAACTATGACTTTGACTGGACAAAAGACTGATTTTAGTAACTTTCTCCTGATAAGAGACCACTGACCATAGACTGGTTCTGGCTGGTTTACAGAGGCTGTGGCACTGAGTGCCTTCATGCCTTCTGTTTCACCTTTTGACATATAGGTCCTACTGATAATACATTTAATTGTTAAGTCTCCACCTCAAAGTGAACATGAGACATGTGCAACATGCATGTTTGTTTACTATTCATGTTTGCTTACTAAACATGCATGTTGCATATGTCCCATGTTCACTTTGATGTGGAAACTTAATCCACCTGCTTAAGAAATATGCACAGTTCATGCACCCCTTGCTTCAGGCATATTCATAGTTCCTCCTATGACCTGTTGAATATGTATACTTGGCCAATCCATTCAGCATAAATTCCTGTTCCACCTTTTCCTCCCTCAAAGTGTCTGCTTTTGGTTTATGCCAGAGGCTACGCTTCCCAGCATGTCAAGATGTCCAGCCTGCAGCTGTAACCCTTTATAAGAAATAAAATTCTCCTTTCCAAATTTATGAACCTCAGGATTGTTTGTCAACATGTTGATACTGCAATAGTCTCCTTACTGCTCTCCCTACTGTCACTTTGCTAACTCCAAATTCATTGTCTCATTGCAGCCAGAATGATCTTTGAAAAAAATAGATTATTTCAATTCATCTGCCACTCCACTCCTGGGCTTAAACCCTTCTAATGGCCTCCTATCACACTCAATATAAAATATCTGAATTCCTTATCTTAGTAAATAAAGCATCACATAATCTGGCCCTTCCCTATTTCTCTTACATCATCTTACCTACAAAGCTCCAGCCACACTGCTTTTTTTTTCTTTCTTGAATATGCTAAGCTAATGTCTATAGACCTCTGCAGTAACTGCATATGTTTCCTCTTAGAGCTCTTGGAGTGACTGGGTCCTTTTTGTTAGTCACCTAGTCTGTCATTCTTTATTGTCACAAAATTTTAAATTTCAACAAGCCACCTTCCCAATATGGACATTTTTCCTTGTTTATGTATTTATTTCCTATTGTCTGTTTTCACTCTCCAGCCAGACTGTAAGCTTCATGAAAGCAAGGGCTTATTATTTTGCTCTATGCATTAAACTAAACTTCTGGAACAGTGCCTAGCATATAGTAGCCACTCAATAAATCTTCGTTAAAGTAACTGATATTTTTCTTCAAAGAGCTGACATATCTGGTTGTGCATCAAAAATGTAATGAATGAAAAATTAAATACATATGGCAACAAACAGAAGAGATGTATATTTAAGTACTACATAAAACACTGATTTTGTTAAAAATGAAAAGGAGAAGGTAGATCATGTTTGTTTACTAAACTAAACATGCATGTTGCATATGTCCCATGTTCACTTTGATGTGGAAACTTAACCCACCTGCTTTTAGAACTAGGTTCTAAAAGCTAGTTTTGACTAAGAGAGGGCGGAAGTTACAGATGGAGGTGGGGGGAACAGAGAGGAAGGAGGGAGAGCAGAACTAGCAGACAGAGGATTTATGCACGAACTTCAGTGCTTGCACAAGTTTTGCAAGGGAGACCTAGCTTGCCCCAAGCTGAAATTCTCCATAATTGGAGTTTGCAGGGAATGACAGTGGGCTGACATATTTTGAGGTACAACTTTCCACTTCCAAAGAGGCCTGCTGTCCCCTCCCACTCCCCACTCTGGCCTTTCCTTTTTTTTTTTTTTTTGAAAAAGAAAAAAAAACAAAAAAACAAAAACAAAACTAAGCAGGTTTCTTTAGAAAAAAGAGGAAGTTCATAAAGAGTGTTTGTGGTAGTAGGGAGCGGGGTGGAGTGAGTGAGGAGCGAGGACGCCAGTACCTCCCACGGAATCGTCAGTCTTGCTTGGTTTGTAAACCTCGCATACGGGCTGTTTTAGCACAGCTACTAAAACACGCCAGGCCTGCACGATATATGGGTATGTTTCGTTTCTAGAGAACTTTTGTTTTTCTAAACTCCTTCTTCCCTTTCCCAGATCTGGCAAGCGTTAGTCATCTTCAACTCGGCAGGAACCCACAAGTGTGCGTGTGTGGCTCGGAGCTGGGACCCCGCCCTCGTCCCCAGGCGCTCACTGACACACGCAGCCTAGACCTGGCCCGAGCGCGCTCCTGGCCTCGGCGTGGCTTCTCTCCAGCCGGGAGTCCCAGGACCCGCTAGCCTCCTCCCCCAAAGGGGACGGCCCGTCAGCGCCGAGCCAGAGTCCAGCACGGGGAGGAAAGTTTCGGAGTGCGGAGGGAGTTGGGCCGCCGGAGGAGAAGGGTCTCCACTCCTAGTTTGTTCCGCCGTCGCCGCGTCCCTGGGACCCTTGTTCCGAAGCGCACGGCAGCCGGGGGACTCAGCCCTCCGGGCGGAGTGAGTGGATTCCAGGACCGGGTCCGAGGCGGGGGCGCCGCAGGCTCGGCCCGAGGCCGCAGAGGAACTCCTCTCGCGAGCGGTCGCAGTGGGCCCGCATTGTGTGCAGGAACTCTCCGGAATCGGGAGGGGGAGGACTGGATCGCGCTTCCACTGGGATTCGTCAAGAGTTCCGGCGGCAGCTGCGGCGGTGGCGGAGACTCCCTTTGTCCTCTCAGGACCTCCCTCTCTCCCTCCCTCTGTCAGCTGGTGGGTCCCGCTGCCGCCGGCGCCAGCGCCTCAGCTGTTCTCCGCACCCCACCCCGAAGTGCGCACGGGGTGACTCCCGCCACCTTCGCGACCCTCCGGAGCTGAGGGGACTGCGAGCGGGAGGGAGTCGCAGGCTCCCGGCCGCAGGATGGTGGCGGGGCGGTCCCCGGCCCGCAGCCCGGGTAGCTGGCTGTTCCCCGGGCTGTGGCTGTTGGCGCTCGGTGGTCCCGGGGTGCTGCTGCGCGCCCAGGAGCAGCCCTCCTGCAGAAGAGCCTTTGATCTCTACTTCGTCCTGGACAAGTGAGTGTGCGAGGGAGGTCCAGGGTCTCATGGTGAGGGCGGTACTGGATCAGCTGGGGCTGAGGCTGCGTTGCGTGTGCGCGCCCCGGGGAGTGGTGCTGGAAACCCGCCGAGGGGTGCCCTGTTGCTGTCTTCTTCCAGAAGACAAGCAAGTTCGGATCTGTGTGAGCTGAGATCAGCGGGGTGCGGGGTCGTGATTGGAGCCCCGAGCTACTTGGCTCTTTAGGGAGTTGGGGTATTCACTGTTTGCCGGTCTTGGGGCCTCTTGGGGGGAGTGTGGCCTCCTGCGGGGTAGCATTCTTGGTCCCAGGAACCCAAACCCGACTCAGTCGGCCTCTGAGTCTTTACCCGCCTTCTACACCTTGGCTCGAACGCAGGCTAAAGTTTGCCTGGTTTTATCCTAATCATAGGGCTCCAGTGAATAGCCAATGTGGTTTGCATTTCCTGCCAAATAAGGCTTTTGTGTTTATTCTGAAAAGCTGGTTTCACTCTAAACAATTAGCAGGCAGGTAGTCCCCCTAGAAAATGGGCTGACTTCTCTAACTTTGGGTAGCACCAAAGTTTCAGCTACAGATGCCCTTACTTAGCTTGAAAAAGAAGCCAGATGTCCCCCATCTTCGTGACATTGAAGAAGGAACCAATATAGAATGTTTACTTTTCAGTTCCGTGTTTTGATTCTCTGATCAGTTCAATTTCATCTTTCAGGTCTGGGAGTGTGGCAAATAACTGGATTGAAATTTATAATTTCGTCCAGCAACTTGCGGAGAGATTTGTGAGGTATCTTTTTTACTTTACTTTTCTAGGTAGTGGAGAAGTAGAGCAAAGTGTAGAATTTCCCTTTTCTGAAACCTTTTATAGGAAAAACCTTTCCTGAAATGTTGCTTTTAAGTGCCTCAAGGTCGTAATTGCACACTTGCTGTTATTGGGACAGCCCTTCAGTCCTTGAGGGCTTATTTCATCTGGTTCCCAGAAACTTGGCTCAGACTCTGGGGAAGCATCTTCAAATACTATTCCAAATGTCTTTTTCTTTCGGAATTTTCATCTGTTTTGAATTTCAGTTATGCTTTCTCATAATTTATCACATTAAAACATAAATTTTATTTGAATAGTATCCATAATATATTTTTCCTTTCCACACATTTCTTAGCATTATAGAAGGCCTCATTAAAACAAACAAAAAGTGTTGGAAAACTTCAAATGAACATGTGTTAATAACCCACTACCAGAAAAGGCACTTGTGTGTGTGTTTAAAGCAACGACTTGTGTTTACACAATGTGTGGGTGTGTGGTTGGTTTAAAATTTAACTGTTCTATATATGCAATAAGCATCACCAGGAAAGACTGGTTTCCTCTCCTATAAAAAGCATTACTGGTATGAAATCCAGCTTACTCTCTTATTTAGAGGTAACTAGGAATTAGTGGCATCTCCTATTTAAAAATAACCCCAGGACACTAGGCTTTTGAGGCTTTCTTCTTCTTTTTCTTCTTTTTTTTTAAAAGAAAAAAATTCAATGAGCGAACACAAGTTTATCAAGATAATGGAAAGGACATGAATAGGAACTGTATCATTAAATATTGCTTCTTTCAGTCTTGTTAGCCCAAATGTTTTCTGTAAAACAGGCTTGGATGATCAAAACATTTTGAAAGTCATGTTGCAAGTAACTTCAAACAATCTGTAGAGGCCTAGGCAATCCTTGCTTTCAGTTATTGGCAGCAGTAAAGTTATCCCTATAAAAATGTATGCCTGTCCATGTTCAATCATCAGTCCCTTGCTTAAGAAGCCAAGTTTAACACTCATTTCTGGACAGGGTCTGAGGTAAAACTGTCTAGGAAAGAAAAACAAACAAGATCTTATATCCTTAAATGTCAAAGGCAGAACAAACAGTTGTTTATAAATTTTCTAATTTAATCCTTCAATGTGCAAAGGGTGTCATGTAGACTTTGATCAAAAGCAATGAATAACATCACCACAACATTTTAAAGAAGGAGGCTTTTATTTTACTCATTGATTTTTTAAGTTGGAATTCTATAATACAGAGTTGTCTGGCTCAAGCCTAGTTGCTCAGTTATTCAATACATTGTAGGAAGTGAATAAGGGGTGATTAATGAAGAGACAGACTTTAAAAATATGTAGAAGCCTTTGAGAGGATTCTGATTTTAAGTTCATAGATTCTAGTTTCTTATCTTTAGTTTTGGATCTTAGTAATAGTTTCAGAGGGTGTCTGAGAAACAAGAACCATTCTGTGAGAGAAATGCTGAAAACTCGAAAGATAAATCTGACTGGGGCACTTGTTGCCAATGGGAAAAGGGATACTTGACACTTAGAAAATAAAAAAATGCCTAAGCAGAAAGTGATTTATCAGTTTCTTTTACATTCCCCTTGACTTTTTATAAGTGGTCTTACTTCAGGATGACTTTTATATAGACTCACATAGTAATTGTCATTAAGTCAAACTGGCTACTCTCTAGCCCTAAGTATTGGTAACTGTAATCACTTTGAAGGGCCTGGCCTCCTTTAAAGGAAATGATGTAGAACACCAAAGAAAGAGGAATTTTCTACGAAAGAATTTTACGTCAGCTTAGAATTTATCTTTCCAGTTAGTCTCTTTCTAAATGCAAGTCCTTATGGGTCATGGAGCGGTATTTGAGTGCTTAGAAGCATTGACTAAATCCAAAATGACTTATGCAACAATGTTGAGCAGAGTTCATCTATTTACTTAGGGAATGTCATTTAAAAGAAGCCTGGACCATTCAGTGAGACCAATTTTAAATGAAACTCTCTAGCTATACATCTGTATTATATCAATATTTCTTTTTAAAATGTTTTAACTGCCTCTTTTCTTATTTTGCAGCCCTGAAATGAGATTATCTTTCATTGTGTTTTCTTCTCAAGCAAGTATTATTTTGCCATTAACTGGAGACAGGTTAGTGCATTATCATTTCACTGCAGGCTTTTAGTAGAGATGAATTTTAAAGACATGATTGATATTTCCAAGTGGTGATTCAGGCCTCTCAGTGGAATTGAGCAGATGCACAGACAATTCAGTTCTCTAATAGAAGGGAAAGGAGGTATGAGTATTATAAAAGAGCAGACAATCTGAAAATCAATATCGTTTATACTGGCTGTGGAATGTGCAGTGAAATCTGGATCCCTGTCTTAGTTGTATATTCACTACTTCCTTCCTTCCCTCGCCTCTCTGTTACTGTAAGTAGTTCCACATTTTTTCTTGTTTACATATAATATATGAATCAACCAGGAATTTGAAGAACATTGAGGGGGAGAATGACATGGATCCTTTTAGATAATTTCTTAGATTCAGCAGACGTCCTAGATTTCTAGCCCTTCTCTGAGGTCCACTGATGCTGAATATTCACCTTTATAAAGGAATTTAGGATATATCAATAGATATATCAATATATTTTTATATATATCTACCTTTCTATCTAATCTCCTTAGTGCTTTTAAAAGGTGTCATTTTTCCAAACCAATATCATTGTACTTTATATGACCATTTTTATGTCATTTAAACAGTGTCAATGGCAAGTTAGAAATAGTCATTGATATGTTTTATTTTATTTCCATTTTTTTGAGACAGAGTCTCACTCTGTTACCCAGGCTGGAGTGCAGTGGTGCTGTCTTGACTTACTGCAGCCCCCACCTCCCAGGTTCAAGCGATTCTTGTGCCTCAGCCTCCCTAGTAGCTGGGAATACAGGCACATGCCACCACACCTGGCCAATTTTTGTATTTTTTTAATAGGGGGAGGGTTTCACCATATTGGCCAGACTGATCTCGAACTCCTGACCAATGTGCTGGGATTACAGGTGTGAGCCACTACGCCCCACCTCATTAACGTATTTTAAAGAGTGGGATGCATAGTGGGAAGGGAGCTTTTATTCTTCATTATTGTGTCTACTTTAGTTAACACAAAATATGTAATCTAGTTCTTTCTCAATAAATTCTTGTTGAATGAATGAGTAGTTTCCTCTGATTTTGAAATAAAATTTCTCCAAACTGTAGTTTTAGCAAGGAAAACTGGTGTGTTTTGTTTTGCATGATATGTGAATTTCTGAAAAGTTAACTGTAAAAACAATTTTTTGTAAATTAAGTTTTCCCTTGAAATGGTAAAAAAATCATAATATTTAAAGGAACTCAGGGAGGGAACTTGTTTATAATTCACTTAACTGATTTAGAAAATTATCCACACAAGATTTTAATCTTTGTGCTTTTAGTTTTGTTTTTCTTAAAGAGGAAATCTCTCTGTAGATGCTGAGGGCAGCCTAGGATCTTGTCTTCTCATTGATACTTCTCCTCCTTCTTTCCTTTCTTTTTTTTAAATTTTATTTTATTTTACTTTTAAGTTCTGGGATACATATGCAGGACATGCAGGTTCGTTACATAGGTAAACACGTGCCGTGGTGGTTTGCTGGACCTATCAACCTATCATCTAGGTATTCAGCCCACATGCATTAGCTATTTATCCTGAGGCTCTCTCTCCGGCTCCCCTGATAGGCCCCAGTACATGTTGCTCCCCTCTCTGTGTTCATGTGTTCTCATTGTTTAGCTTCCACTTATGAGAACATGCGGTGTTTGGTTTTCTGTTCCTGTGTTAGCGTGCTGAGGATAATGGTCCTCCTTACTTTCTTGTGTGGATGTGAAACTCATCAGGAGCCAGAGCCATCATAGTCCACAACCCACGTACGGCAGGTTTCTATGCCCAGTGATTTAACAGTTCTTGCCTTTATGAAAATGAATTTTCTCCATTGCCCAGCTTAATTTCCAAAGAAACAGCTTTGAATTTAGCTTCTCCAAAAAACAAAAGAAAAAAAAAAAGAACCACTTTAACATTTATGGCATTCATATATATAGAAACACACTTAGCATCATGCCAGGCATGTAGAAACTCTCAGTCGTTGATAGCTACAAACATTGTGCCAGGTTCTTTGCTAGACACTTTGCATATGGTTCCTCAGCATTTTGAAGTGTAGGTCACTGGGTGAACAGATTGGTATTGCTTTGACATCATGGAAGGGGTTTAAATCTTTAACCTACATTAGAGATTCTTCTTTCATCATTGGTTGAATCTAATAGGGGAGACACTGAAATGGGTTACAGAAGAGGCCGTTCTTTCAAGAGGTAGCATAGTGATGCAGCTAAAAGTCACTAGACCAAATCTACCGGCGTTTAAATCCTGGCTGTCCAATTACTAGCCAAATGATCAAGGACAAGTTGCTTAACCTCTTGATGCTGCCTCGTTTCTCATCTATATAATGATGGCAATGATGATGATCATAGTAATACCCACCCCATAAAATTGTTACAGGAATGAAAGTTGATGAATGTGAAGTATTTAGAACAGAGTCTGGTATATAAGTTTTCAAGAGATAAAAGTTTTATCACTATTATTATCATCTGGAGCCAGGCAATATACAGCGTTTTAATGATCAGAGAAGAATCATGCTTATGTAAACAGAATGTTGTCCTGCTTAAAAGGATTTATAATATTCCAAGAGGAATTTTAATAATGCTACTTGCAACTTGTTTTATACATAGCTGGCTTCACTGTCTCTTCCTAAATATAAAAACTTTAAATTTTAGTAAATTTCACTGTGCCATTTTTAGTTAGTTTGGGGTGGCAGAAAAGAACACTGAGAATGCCTAGGTTAGAGTTCCAGTTTTGCCAATTACTGATTTGGAAACTTGGGGCAAATTGTTTACCACTGTGTCAGTTTTTATGTTCATAAAGTGCAGGACATAAAATCTGCCTTGTTTTCTTAGTGTTATTGTGAAAATCAAAATAAGACAATGCGTAGAAAGGTACTTTGTATAGCATACAACAATCTCCAATAAAGGACATTATTTTCTTCTTCTAGATTGCTCTTTTGCTAATTTTAAGTTTCTATGGTCCTCTATATTTGGATATAGAGTCACTTTTCTTCCATTACACACTTTTAAGTGTGAAGAAACAATTTGCATATAATATGCAAATCAGTAAACAAGTGATTCCACAACTACTGTGAATCTTTGTTTCAAAGCCTAGAAATTGGAATTCTGCATATAAACTATTAATATCTTGATGTCATATATCATACTCAAAAATAGATCAGAGTGTGTGAGGAAAGCAAAGGTTAAGCAAAGAAAACCAAAGGTTAAGCACTGCAGGTTTCACAATTCTGTTTCTAGCACTCATAATTCTTTAGAATATAGGTAAATATGAGAATTAGCTTGTTCATGTTTCTCAGAGTGTTGCTAAAGATTTTCAGTAGAAATGAGGCAAGATTGGAAGGTGGTAAATGTTTACCGTGGGACTGTGTCTTCTGTTATGCTTTCAGCATGGTATCTGGTACTGTGTAAATGCGTGAATAAAGTAATAAACATGCCAAGAAATGATGTGATGCATTTTATATACTTGTTACTTAAAAACCTTATTCTTTTAAATAATTTGAGCCGGGCATGGTGGCTCACGCCTGTAATCCCAGCTATTTGGGAGCCTGAGGCCGGAGAATTGCTTGAACCTGGGAGGCAGAGGTTGCAATGAGCCGAGACTGAGCCATTGCACTTCAGCCTGGGCAACAAGAGTGAAACTCCATCTCAAACAACAACAACAACAACAACAACAATAACAACAAAAAACCTTTAATTTGAAACACTCCCTTCTTTTCTCTTGAGCTCATGATTTTTATTTTCTATATGTCTGTTAGTCCATTCATCCACCTACCCAACCCACCTACCTAAAGATTTGCTTATCTTAGAATCAGTGCATTAAGTACCGTGAAATCTGGGTGACACAAAGATAAGTAATCCAGCGTGTGTGTGAGTAGAGGTGTATATATACGCATAAATAGCCCCGGGATGTATTATAGGGTTAGGTAAGAGGAAAATGCCATGTGTTGATTCAGTATGAAAATACCCAGTCTTTCAATAGTAGAGAATTTGGAATCAAGACTAATTAAAAAATATTTTTGGTTATTATTTTGCGTAATTGGGGATAGTGAATTAAGCTCAATTCTGTTAAATATTATGCTAATAATGTTACAGAGATTTAGTTGGAAACATTTATTGAACAATTATGCACCAGGCAGAATACAAAATATTTTCCATGTATTGCTTCATTTAATCCTCATATAAATTTCATGTGATAGATACTGTTATTACCTCGATTTTACAAATGAAGAAATCAAAACTGACAATGATAAAGTGGCTTTTTCAAGCACATACAGCTAACAAGTCGCAAGCAGTATATGGGCTGGAATAATCTTTTAAATTAAAGCAGATCATGCCACTCTCATGCTTAAAACAGTCTAATCACTTAGAATGGGAAGCTAGTGCTTCCCAAAGTACCTAAAAACCCTATCCAATTGCCCCACCCAGTCCTTTCCTAAAACATCGTGTGACACAATCTAGCTCAAGTGGCATTCTTTCCATTCCCTGAACAGACAGAGCTTGTTTCCACATTAGGACCGTTGCTCTTTCTCTGCAGCAGATCTGCCCCTAGCTGGCTTGTTCTCATCATTTAGTTTTCATCTCACATGTTACCTTTTCTGAGACACCTTGCCTGGCCACCAGGCCTAAGGAACCACATCTCTCCTCCCCAGTAATCTCTTACAATACGGTATTTGGTTATCACATTTTGAAATTGTTCTGTTAATTTATTTTTATCTTGATGACTCTAATGTAAACATGAAAGCAGGGGGTCCTCATTTGTCTTGTTCCCCCATGTATGCCAACACCTAGAACTCTAATGTAAACATGAAAGCAGGGGTTCTCATTTGTCTTGCTCCCCTATGTATGCCAACACCTAGAACAGAGCCTGACACTCAGTAGATGCTCAATAAATATTTGTTGAATGAACGATTGAGCTGATATGACTCCAGAACCTTAGTTATTAGCTGCCATCATATATTATCTTTTTGTGATTATACCAC